ATTTCCAGACAAAGAGCAGAAGTGCCTGGAAATTGAAGGTTTTTCAGCACCCTGTATTCTTAGTCCTTCCCCATGCATTTGTATTTCAGGTGTTCAGATTATGGATGCTTAGTCAATAAAGTCTATGCAAATGTTTCCATTTCTGAAGAGCAGAGAAATCAGAAATCTAAGTGTTTCAGAAGAGAGGTGCGCAGAATGGATCTGCCGAGAGCATCAAGCTGCGGTCTTCTGTGAAGCCATCCCACGCCCTGAACTGCGACCGGCACAGGCCCCTGCTAATCTCTTTAAGATATTGAGGCATTTCTTCCAGATTCCCAAACAACTGTGGTCTCCATGTTCCAGAGACTCTGATCTCAGAGCCCCCCAGGGAAATTATTCTCCACACAAACACTTCACTATGAGGAGTGGAGATGGGAGACCCTTTTCATCTGCGTTCTTATCCTGGCCCACTCGATGGGTTTTGTCTCTGGCAAATACAAATGTCTGCACAATGACTTTTCCTTTCTCACGCAGACCCGTTTCCCACCCATGTGGAACCACGTTGGACAGAACCAGATCTGTTTTGTCTGGAACTAAGAATTATTTCCTGAAGGACCTCAGGGACTTTCCTCAGCTGCCTCCAGCTCTGGACTTCGAGATTACAGGTCCCTCTGAGCAGGCACGCCTGTAGACCCACGGGGTTCAGAAAGTAGATGATGCTTTGGCCATGCCTGCCCCCACCACAAACAGCGGGTCCGCAGCTCAAGGAGCCTGACAATGGGTGGTCCCAACTATAGAGCAGGTGGACAGGGACTCAGAACTCATCTCAAAAACAGATTAAGCTCCCTTATCCAAAATGCTTGGAATGAGGAGTGTTCCACAGGTAGCTCAGATTTGGGAATCCTCTCCTAGGTTTGCCATGTGTGTCTGCCCTGAGCCTTCAAGGTAGAGGTGACAAATGCAGCTTGTGGCTTCAGTGCCTGCCTGTAAGAGTCAAGAAATTTTCTGTCAATTTCACCCTTTGAGGAGGAAAGAGACTGGGGTTTGGAATTGGTCACGGCTGCGCTTCGCACGTCAGGGAGATGACAGGAGATCGCAAAGTGACAGAGATCTCCCTATGTGTCTAGAACGGATAGTCCTAGTACCACTGTGTTTGGTGGTTTTGTGCTATGACAGGGTCTCATGTAAGATGGACTGGCCTCTAATGTACTTTACTATGTAGCCAAGGATGACCTTGAACGCCTCATCCTTCCACGTCCTCCTTCCAAAGGCTTGAACTACAGGTGTGTGCCAACCTAAAAGGTCATGCATGGTCTTTATGATGGTTTCCTTTGTTTTTCTCCCCCACTAAGGAAAACCCATCTCTTCATCATTGTTGCCTAATTCAGCCTTAGGTCCAGCCACAAGAAAGGGTCTCAAAAATTAGCCTGTGAAGCAAATAAGTGAATATTTATTATTATTATTCACATTTATAATATCAGTGACTTATAGGCTGTGTGGCCTTGAGCAAATTTCTTGTCCATAATATAAGGCAGAAGACCTTGCTTCCAAAAGTCTTTGGGAACATTAAAAACCTTATTCCCTATAAAAGCATCCAATGGCCTGTCCCCCCTTGATGGGGTCTCAGAAGGTTTTTGCCTCTTGTTATACACAGTTCTCTCATGCATATGTTCAGGTACAGGGCAAATCACATCTTCTTGGGAAGACCATTTGAGACGCTGGGGTCTGTTTCCAAGACAGGAAGAACCATAGACCTGTGGGGACAGTAAACATCCAACAGAAGGTCATGTGCCTACACGCCTGCATTTATTCTTCACCCTTACCTGGAGGAGACCCATCCTGATGTTCCCAGACCCTACACACCGCTTCCAAGGACTGTCAAACAGAAGGCGAGGTGGGAAACAGAAGGGAAAAATACACGAAATGAGATTTCTTCTCCCTAAAAGGTTTTCAAGCCATTAGAAAAGAACAGCGGTGTTTTTGTGCTCACCACCAGAGCAAACACCTTTTAACCTACTGTGTTGTTCAGCTGTGATTCCCAGCGATTACTGTCTCCCCCAGCAAAGTCTCATTTCCATAAATGCTTTACTGAACCCAAAGAGGACAGATCTTTGAATCTTCCTAATGTTATTAATAAATGTTAAGAGGGTATAACATGGAATTAATGGGCAAATTTAATAATTCTCCTATTAGGGTTGCCTTTCCACGTGGTCCCCGAGGGAAAACGCGCCTGAGGAGTTTCTGTAGACGATATTGTTTAACGGAAACTTTGCAAAAATGAGAATTAGGCCTTTGGTGAGCAGGGATCTTTAATTTAATTTGTTTTTACTGCCAGAACACAGGGAGTTACTCACAGCAGACTGCACCAGCAGGCAGCCCCGCAGAATTAAGTTTTGCTGTCAAGAGCGCCAGGGTAATGACTTCTCCAAGGCCTGGCGTTTGGAGAGCAGTGCAGTGTGGTTGGCCAGTGTGGGAATTGTAGAAGGCAATAACCAAGTCCTGAAGGAGCAGTGACACTGGAGAGCCACCTTATAAATGCCGGAGGGCAGGTGGGTCTTCTCTGACCCGTGGAGAAGGGGGTGGCTGAAGACTCGGGGAGGGGTAGAAGCCCCGCACAGGAAGCCGAGGGAACGGGGAAGAGGGAGACACAGAGCTTTTGTTTGACTTTGGATCTTTTCCCTTGGTGCTTGTCTCCAGTTGAAAACAAAGTCAAGCCCATTGCTGCAAACACCCAGGAGCCCTTCCTGATGCGGGCTCCCTGACTCCCATGCCTGTGACACAGGGCCAGCCTGTGTAGAGGGAGCCTGGAAAAGGAAGGTGAAAAGCTAGGTTGACATGCCTTTACGTTCCCTTCCCCCACCTCCCTGCAAGGAATAGAAAGACTCAAATGCTTGTTCATTCCTGTCCCCAGCAGCTCTGTTTTACAGTGACCAAAAGGTGGCAATAATTTGGAGATCTTTCAGTCCATGGACAGCTGAGGGAACACAGTGTGGTAAAAGTGTACAATGGAACATTCGTCAGTCTTTAGAAGGAATGAAGACCTGGCCTTCCCTATATCATGGATTCCTCCTGATGGTATTGCACCAAGTAATTGTGAGAGTTAATGTTGTGTTCTAAGTTTTAATTACTATGCCTGAGAGGTCCATGAAACAAACAAAAAACCGCCTCTGATCTGTAAGCCCCTTGCTCAAGGACAGGCAGTTCCTGAAATGCTGCAGGCTCCCATAAATGTTTATGGGAGATGACAAGCCATGTTTTTCACACCCCTAAACAAGTTTGTTTGACCTATCTGCATCGGATGGGTCACATGGTTGTACTTGATCACATTATGGGAGGAGATTCACAGGCAGGAAATACATCAGGATGTATGCTTATCCATGATTGGCTATAGGCTGAAGGGATGTCAGGATATATGCTTGCCCCTGATTGGATGTAGGCTGGAGGGATGTCAGGATGTACACTTATCCCTGATTGGATGTAGGCTGGAAGAATGTCAGGATGTATGCTTGCCTCTGATTGGATGTAGGCTGGAGGAATGTCAGGATGTACACTTATCCCTGATTGGATGTAGGCTGGAGGAATGTCAGGATGTACACTTATCCCTGATTGGATGTAGGCTGGAGGGATGTCAGGATGTATGCTTGACCCTGATTGAACCTGATGGAAATTCTCAAGCTGCTGTAAACCCTGATTCAGAGTCATTTTCTGGAAACCCAGAGATGGACCTGGCCAGAGCCCATCTACCTGGCCAGTATTTAGTTAAAACTTGCTTCAAATTTGGCTTTAACTTGTGGTAGTGATCTTATTCTCAATCGGCAGGATTGACATAATAGTAAACAGAGATTTAAGACAAAATTCTCAGCTCTGGCAGACCCAACAGGCTATCCCCAGCCACCCAGACACACAAGTTAAAAAAGAAATAATGGAAAAAAAAAAAAACAACAACAGAGGGAGATGTAACCAGGACATGTGACTGCAGGATCAGATAAAGCAGTCTGGTGACTAGCAAGGGTCGGGGGAGGAGAGGAAGGAATGCAGCAAACTTTTAATCTAAGTACTTGAGAGGCAGAGGAAGGAAGATTTCTGAGGCCAGCCTGGTCTACGGAGTAAGCTCCAGGACAGCCAGAGAGAGAAAGCCTGTCTCAAATAAAACAAAACAAAACAAACAAACAAACAAAAAAGTCCATGACTCCAAGTTGACCTTTGAGGAACTGGGTTAACTATAGGACACAGTGGGAGGATTAAGGAAGCAGTTATGATCGGGGCGTGGTCTGATTGGTTGTTGCCTCCCATTGGTTAGGCAAGGATGTCCAAAAAGAAGTTGTTCTATCTTCAACTTGACAAGCTTGATGCAGTCGCTATGACGTAAGCCCTCCTGCTCCAGAGAGCAGTCTCACCCTCCTTGGTAATCACTGCCAGCTGAAGGATGACCTAAGGGGCTGTTCTCGGAACCCAGGGCCAGGTTTAGGGCCTTTGTGCCTTCAACTCTGGTTGGGGATGAGTCAGGTAGGCAGGCATTTCTTTTTTTTTAATTTTTTTTCTAAGTTTATTAAATTATGAAAGTTTCTATTTCCGCCCCTCCTCCTAACACCCTCCCACTCTCCCCCTCCCCCTCTTCCTCCCTCTCTATCCTTAAGAGCAGTCAGGGCTTCCAGCCCTGTGGGTAGTTCAAGATCCTCCCCACTCCCTCCAGGTCCAGGAAGGTGAGTATCCAAACAGACTGGATCCCAAAAATCCAGTATATGCAGGGGAAACAAGTCCCAGTGTCATTGTCGATGGCTTTTCAGAAAGGCTCCGGGCCAGCCACATTCAGAGAATCCGGCCACATTCAGAAAATCTGGTTGGATCACATGCTCGTTCAGTCCCAGTCCAACTGGCCTTGGTGAACTCTCATTAGATCAGTCCCCTTGTATCAGTGGGTGATCGCACCCCTCGCGCTCCTGAGTTTTTTTCATGTTCTTCCTCCTTCTGCTCCTCATTTGGACCATGGGGGGGCTCAGTCCGGTGCTCCAATGTGGGTCTCCATCTGTATCGCCATCCATCGTCGGATGAAGGATCTATGGTGATAGGCAAAATCTTCATCAGTATGGTTATAGGCCAAGGCCGGTTCAGGCACCCTCTTAGGCAGGCATTTCTTGAATGAGCATGCCTACAAAGGGTCAAGCAGGAGTCTGGCCTGGAGTTAAAGAGAAATAAAGAAAATCAGAGAGGCCAAACTTCCATTCCACTCTGAAATCCCCTGCATGGGGAGTCAGTGCTTCTCAGAGAAGCTGTATTAATAAACTGAGCCAGTCACCCAAAGGCAATCCTACATGACTCCATTCTTCTGGGATGAGCCCAGTCCTGAGAGACTGTTCTCTTTTTAAAGGTGTTTACGATCATGTCCTCCAAAAGACACAATGTTTCTACAAGAAAACACCTGATTTGGGGCACATACAAAGATGTGTGTGCTAACACTACACTTAGAGGTGGGAGTAGACTTTGATAGATAATGCTTGTTCAGAGAATAATCCAGTCAGAATTGGGTTCAAAACAAATAACACCAAGAAGCTGAAGAGATGACTCAGCAGTTAGGAGCACAAACTGATGTTTCAGAGGACCTCAGTTTAGTCTCCAGCACCCACATGGTAGCTTTCCAGTTCCAGGGGATCTGACTTCCTCGTCTGGCCTCCACAGGGATCAGACACACATGTTGTCTGCTTATATCCATATAGTCAAAACACCTATACAAATAAAATAAAATGTAAATAAATAAATCAATAAGAAAAAAAGAAAAGAAATGCCCCAGGACAGCTGCATGTGGAGTTTCCTTCAGCCTTAAGAAGGATGAAGCTGGAGCTGGAGAGATGACTCAAGCTGAGGGTCCAGAGAATCCATGTTGGACAGCTCACAACAAGCTGTTCCTCCTGTTCCATGACATCTAACTCCCCCTTCTGGTCTCTAAAAACACCTGCACACACACCCCCCACACACACACACACACACAAGCACATACACACACGCATTAAATAAATAAAAGAATGAGGTGTCTTTTGCAGAACAAAAGCATGAACCTGGAGATCACCATGGAAAGAGAAATAAGACAGGCTCAAAAAGATAAACATTGCAGAATCTAAATTTAGAAAAAGAGGGTGGGGGATATGAAAGAAGAGAGGGAGATACTTGGGAAGAAGAAGGAGACCAATGGACTGGGAAGCAAAACAGGGCAATGGGGGAGGGGAGATGATTAATGCATATTGTATCATAATGAAACCCCTTATTTTGTACAAAATACATGCTAGTAAAATGGAGGATGAATTGCCACTAAAAAGACAAAAGAAAAGTCAACTGATTCCATTCCCACCCAAAAAAACAGGTTAGTTTCTAATTGGCATTGTCATCACAAAAGCCAGGAACTGAAACTGGGGCAGACTCTGCCCATAGAGACAAAGTCTAAATCTCCTGACCTCATATCAGGAAAACCTTGGTTTGCCTCCCATCTGGAGACAGCATCACCAGGTGGAGGGCCGCCCCAGACCCAAGGTCAAGGCTGGTACGTCAAGGCTTTGCTCTTCAAGACGGAAAGCTGTAAGACATCTTTCTTGGATTCAAGAAGAACCTGAGAAAAAAATTGTGCACACTTTTCAATTATAAAAGCTCTGATCTGGGCAGTGGTGGCGCACACCTTTGACCCCAGCTCTTGAGAGCCAGAGGCAGGCAGATCTCTGTGAGTTCAAGATCAGCTTGGTCTAGAGAGTGAATTCTAGGATGGCCAGGGCCACACAGAGAAACTGTCTCAAAACAAACAAACAAATGAATAAATAATATAAAGACTCTAAAGTACTGAGACCTAGGAACTCACAGATTCCTGTCACCTTTGACGGGCAATCTAATTCCCAAAGCAGGATTTTGAGTTAGTTTTATCTTTACCCACTATCTCTGCTTGCTTTGCTTTTCAAATTCGGCCTGGTTATTTTCTTTCAGCAAGACCTACTGCAGTTATATATAAAATGTTACTTAACCCGTGTGAGATCGCTTGTTTTGATCAAGAGCAACATTGCCAAGTGGAAACCTTCTGTGTTAAAATCTGCTCTGGCTTGAATCGCAAGTCACCACGAGATGCTGGTTATTTAACAGCAGACAAATAACCTGGTTCTCCCTGACACCTGGGAGCTATTTGTAACTAGATTTTAAGGAAATTTAACCAACAGTTTATTGGACAATGGGTTTAGGAGAAAATGCTTACAAAATAATGGAAATATACATATGAACAAAGAAACAATCACACACATACACGCACACGCACACACACACACACACACACACACACACATATATATATATATAAACAAGCAAATATTTAAATACTGATATTATATATGAACACATACATCACTATTTTTACAGGCCCACGCTAGGGACATTAGAGAATGTACATCTTTAAAAGATTATGTTACCCCCTCACTCCTTTGTGATTCAAAATACAATAAAAGCACTCATAAACCTCCCTTATTGCTCTGACGACCGAGGTCTCGGTTTGGACTACCTGGCTTGGTGCAGGATTAAATGACACACTTTTAGAAGCCCCAGTTATGGGCCACCCAGGTGCCAAAATGAGAGACAGGTGTCAGAACCACACTTCACATTCCCACAGCTGAGCCTGCACTGCCTGAAACGTGGAATCGGAAACAATTGATCCTTCACGTTCAATCACCTTGCAAGGCCGGGTTAGGTGGGCCGTTTTCATGGACCTGCCTCATCGATTCGAGCAGCCCATCAACTACCTCTACAGATCCCTCTAACCGGTCTCACACCCTAGGGGCTCACAGCTTGTCTGACATCACGTGCACACCGCTGTGATGACTGGGTTGGACCAGCGCCAGCACTGGGCTCCTCAATGGTGCATACAGCCCTCTAATTACTCAGCTCCCTACTTGCCTCACACATTAGACTAAAATCAGCTAAGAATAAATTCCATCTTGTGGCCAAAGGGCCCTGTCCTGATACTGGAGGGCAGCAGGTCCCTCTTTCTAAAACTTTAGCATGATCACAAGACCCTTTAGGTAACAGGCATAAACCTACTAATTTATAGTCCAAGCTTGGTGATGTGACCATGAATCCCAGAAAATTCAGAACAACCTCAGGCCACACCTCTCAAGTACCCTTTACTTGGCTCCTTCTATGGTCATATCAGTCCAGAAAGGATCCAAGCTTTCAGGATCCTGAACGGTCTTCATGTGACCAACAATAAATTCCCGAGGGCCCTGAAAAAGTGGTTATGGCATTCACTCAAAACTTCCCCGTGTATAAGTTGATTTAACCTTCACGATGAGCAACATGGCAAGGATTGGTCAGACTCACAAATACATGTGGCCTTTGTCCAAGAGTCCACTTCCTGGAATGTTTCTCACAGACGCACACTGCCCTTCTGTCTCTGATAACAGATGATCGGAAACTGCCTTTTGGTGGGTAGATCCCCTAAAATGTGGCTATATTATTGAGGTTCATGCAGTGGAATGATTGGTAGCCCCCACACATGAAGAAATGGTGCTCCACTCTTCTAGCTAGAAGCTGGCATTTCTGGGGGCTGGAGAGCTGTCTCAGTGGGGGAGTCTGTGTGTTGCTCTTGCAGAGCGTCCACGGGGGACAGATTACAGTCACCTTTAACGTCAGTTTTGGGGGACCCAAGGCTCTCTTCTGGCCTCTTCAGGCTCCTGCACACATGTGGACGGAGAGACAGACAGGCAAGCAAACAGTCAGACACACAAATAAATAAATGCCTATAATCCCAGCATTTAGGAGACTGAGGCAAAAGGATTATGGGTCTGAGGCTGATTCAAACATAATAATAGTAACAATAATATCTGTTGTAGTCATCTGTTTAGGCAAAGCACCATACAACAGCTAGCAATGTAATGGGAAAAGCCTTCCAGCTGAGCTTCAGTCAGAAGATACACAGAGCATTTGTTGAACAGTAGTTACCGGAAGTTAATGAAGACTGCTTTCCTGCTGTTTGACCCAATCCCTGCTCATCTCCCTCTCCTGACAGATGTCTGAGATAAAGCCTATACCCTCATGGGGCCCTCCCTAAGAGCACACTCCACTGCTTCCTCGAAGGGCCCCTGTCTGAAGGCATCTCACCCATCACCTCACACATACTTGTTGGCATAGCATGATGCCAGCCTCAGAGAAGGCAGCAGCAGACAAGGCCCTGCTACCACAGTGAGTTGACTGACCCACATATCAGTCAACTAGTCATCTAGTGGAGTGTGTTATGTAGCCAGTGTTTCCTCGCGGACAGAAGAGAGCTGAGTACAATTAGTGAAGCTCAAACCCACTGAGCCAAGGGACTGGCAAACTCACACACAGCATCTGGACTTTCCAGAGCGGAGTATTTCAGTGAGATGATGGGTTAATCGTGTTAGCAGTCAGGTTGGAAATGGAAGAGTTGGACAGCAGTGGTAGCAGTCCAGAACAGACACATGGACATCAGTAGAATACCGTACCAGCCTGCACGGAAAGGTTCTTTCCAATTAAAAAGACATTCTGACGTCAGAGATACGGGAACGGCAAAACCCTGATATTAGACCCGTCTACGCAACCCCGTGTCTCAGACCTCCCAATATCAACCTTCCCCTTCTTCCCCTTCCTTCCCCTCCCCTCTTTCTCTCCTTTCATTCCCTCTTCTTACTCCGTTTCTCCTCCTGCCTCCCTGTTTCCTCTTTTGACAGCATGAGCTGTTGCCTCCTTTCCCTAAACCAATTCATCGTCATCATCGCTTCGGAACCCCCACATCTTCATACACCAGAGCTCTGACCTCCTTGTGCGGATTTCTGAAGTCAACGCCAACCTGTCTACGAAGTGAGTTCCAGGACAGCCAGGGCTGTATGGAGAGAGCCTGTCTTGGACAAGCAAACAAACATAAAGCAGTGGGCAACAGATACTGTTATCAACAGGGAAAGGCCACTAAATCTCTTCACTCATATTGTTGTCACTAGAGTGTGGTCCCTCTTACCTAGTTCTTCCAGTTAGTGACATTTCCTTACAGCAGTCACTCAAACCCACATTTCATAGAAGGATGTCTCACGTGCTCTAATGAGGCCAGTTACTCTGTGTTTCCTTTCTCTGCCTTGAATGTTCTAAGCCTTCACTGTGATCTCTATTGTGCTACTTTCTGCCTCTTAGACCTAAATATTTGGTTATCTCTCATTCATAATCAGATTAGATTATTTGACTCATCTTCTCCCCAAATCACTTGTAACAGGGACAAGATTGCTCAACACATTTGCTTTCCAGGTTCCTCTCCATTACTTTAAAAAGCAGTTATGACCAGGCAACGGGGGCACACGCCTTTAATCCCAGCACTCAGGAGGCACAGACAGGCAGAACTCTGTGAGTTCGAAGCCAGCCTGGTCTACAGAGCAAGTTCCAGGACAGGCTCCAAGGTTACAGAGAAATCCTGTCTCAAAAAACAAAGAACAATAGGGGAAAAAGGCAGTTATGGGAACATTTTCTTTGTGGCTATGCATAAGCACCAGGAATACTGAGATATTAAAATAAAGCTGCATTCTCTCTCTTCGCATTGGCTATTTTTGTGATGTGTTGACTGAATATCTGACATAAGCAACCTGAGGGAGGAGCGGGGGCTTATTTTGCTCAGGGTTCAGCGATTTCTGTTCATCACACTGGGGAGCCATACTGGACTGACTCAGCCCTTTGTGGAAGAGTATATGGAGGCTTCAGAAATAGAAGCCACAGGACAGGAACCAGGGGCCGCTACATTACCCTCCCCTAATGACCTTCTTCTGTCAGGCAAGCTCCACCTTCTAAAGGCCCCACAGCCTTCTAATGGTGCCACCACCCGAGGACCAAGATTTCAAAACACAAGCCTATGAAGAATGTTCCAGATGCAAACCAAAACACTCTTAGGAGGTTTTCTATCTTGAACAGTCAATCTAATAAATACTCAACCATCTGTTGAAGGGTCAGGAACGGTGGGGAGGGTTTTTCTGAGCTCCTAGGTCTAGACCTGAATAATCAGAATTTAAATCCTCTGCCGTGCTTACAGCTGAGCAATTTTAAGGAAGTTGTTGAATGCTTTGTCCTGTTTCTTCCCCAGGAAGCAGGACAGCAAACGAAGTGATTTTATTCAATAAAGATGCCTAGCTCAAATCAGCCCCCACAGAGGCCATTCTAGCTTATTAACGCAACCTCTCTCCACATAGGCAACCTTTGGCTCTCACCTGGCCCACTTTGTGATGGTTTAAGTGTTTGGATTTCTCCAGCTTTGTGGATAGCTCAAAATATCTTAAATAAAAGAGTGACGGTGTCTGACCCAGCAACTTGGGCGTGAGTGTTTGAGTGGCACACAGCCCAACCAGTTAACGGAACAAGACGTCCTCTGGTTTGGGTGAAAATATAAAGACCATGAAATTCAGAGACTGTCACGTCCCCCTCAGCCTGGGATGACGTCCTCCTCACCACAGAAAGCAACCAGAAAGCATGTACATGAAGGGCCTGTTGTTAGACTTTCTCTGAGGTTCTCATTATCGGCAAAGCCGCGCGGCTTCTTCTCACACCTCGTTTGGACAAGCAGTCCCTCTCAGCAGCAAGAGCAAG